CCCCACCACACCACCACCAACCACTACCACCTCATTACCCCACCAACCATCATCACCACGACCAACACCACCACCATCTCTCCATTATCATCCTACCACAATCTCCACTACCACCACCACCATCATCACCACCACCACCACCACCTCTCCATTATGATCCTCCCACAATCTCTACTACCACCACCACCATCACCACCACCATCAACACCACCACCAACCACTAACACCCCATCAACCCACCAACCATCACCACCAACCATCACCACCACCCACAACCACCACCACCACCACCCACACCACCACCACCACCACCGTACCGGCTGTCCTCCCCTTCCAGCAGGCGCCTGTAGGTGGCGATCTCCGCCTCCAACTTCATCTTCATGTTGAGGAGGTCCGAGTAGTCCTTGAGCTGCCTGTTGATATCTCCACGCATGTTGTTGAGCTCCCCCTCGAGGCGCTGGATGATGATGGTGTAGCTGGAGAGCTCCCGCGCGTTGCGGTCCTCCGTGTCCTGGAGCTGGTCGTCGAGTGAACGCACCTAACGTGGTGGGGAAGGCGAGAGGGTGGAGGTCACGGTGGAGGTCACGGTGGAGGGTCACGGTGGAGGGTCAGGGATGTTGGTCAGCCATGGATTAATGATGGTGTAGCTGGTCATCCAGCGAGCACACTCACTCACTCACGCATCCATCCACTCACTCACACGTCCACTCACTCACTCACTCACCCACTCACTCACTCACTCACCCACACATCCATTCACTCACTCACACATACACTCACTCACTCACTCACCCACTAACCCACACATCCACTCACTCACCCACTCACTCACCCACTCACTCACCCATTCACTCACCCACTCACTCACTCACTCACCCACACATCCACTCACTCACCCACTCACACACACATCCACTCACTCACTCACACATCCACTCACCCACTCACTCACTCACTCACCCACTCACTCACCCACTCACTCACTCACACATCCACTCACTCACCCACACATCCACTCACTCACCCACTCACCCACCCACACACCCACCCACTCTCTCACTCACTCACACACCCACTCACTCACTCACCCACTCACCCACTCACCCACCCACTCACTCACCCACCCACTCACCCACTCACCCACCCACTCACTCACTCACTCACCCACCCACTCACTCACTCACTCACCCACTCACTCACTCCCTCACTCACCCACTCACCCACCCACTCACTCACTCACCCACTCACCCACCCACTCACCCACCCACCCACTCACTCACCCACTCACTCACCCACTCACCCACCCACCCACTCACTCACCCACTCACCCACGCACTCACTCACCCACCCACCCACTCACTCACCCACTCACCCACCCACTCACCCACCCACCCACTCACCCACTCACCCACTCACCCACCCACCCACTCACCCACCCACTCACCCACTCACCCACCCACTCACTCCCTCACTCACCCACCCACTCACTCACCCACTCACCCACCCACTCACCCACCCACTCACCCACCCACCCACTCACCCACCCACCCACCCACTCACCCACCCACCCACTCACTCCCCCTCCCACTCACCCACCCACCCACTCACTCCCCCACCCACTCACCCACTCACCCACTCACCCACCCACTCACCCACCCACTCACTCACCCACTCACTCACCCACTCACACACCCACTCACCCACCCACCCACCCACTCACCCACCCACCCACTCACTCACCCACTCACTCACCCACCCACTCACCCACCCACCCACTCACTCACCCACCCACCCACCCACTCACCCACTCACTCACCCACTCACCCACCCACCCACTCACCCACTCACCCACCCACTCACCCACGCACTCACTCACCCACCCACTCACTCACTCACTCACCCACCCACTCACTCACTCACTCACCCACCCACTCACCCACCCACTCACCCACCCACCCACTCACTCACCAGCCCGCGCAGGGAGTCTAGCTCAGCCTGCAGTGACTGCATGGCGCGTCGAGTCTCCACCACCTCGCTCTTGGCCGAGTTGGCCGCTTGGCTCTGCTGCACCGAGGACACCTTCACCGTCTCTACCTGCGGGGCGGGAGGGGCACAACGTCACCCACGTGGTGGGGGGGGGGGGGTGGTGGTGGTGGGGGTGGTGGTGGTGGTGGTGGGGGTGGTGACATCGTCGGCACCATCATCGTCATGATCATCATCGTCATCATCATCGTCGTCATCATCATCGTCATCGTCACCATCATCGTCATGATCATCATCGTCATCATCATCGTCATCATCATCGTCATCGTCACCATCATCGTCATCATCATCATCGTCACCATCATCGTCATCATCATCATCATCACCATCATCGTCATCGTCATGATCATCATCGTCATGATCATCATCGTCATCGTCATCGTCACCATCATCGTCATCGTCATGATCATCAACATCATCGTCATCATCATCATCATCGTCACCATCATCGTCATCA